GGGATCATCACATTTTACGTTTTCCAATTGGCCATTTCCTTTTTAGAGGTTTGTATTACCGGCACAAATAAGTGGATCCTACCCGGGTATTATAAAATTACTCGGGTTATCCGGGTAAATTATTATGTATTTCGGGTAATCATATAGCATCAATTTCTACCCGGTCCAATCGTATTACTTCTTATTCTACCCACAAGTACAAATAAATAATTTGAATTGCTTTTTAAAACTTTATATTCGGGAAAAACCTTGATTTATATGTTTCAAAAGGTGTCACGTTACATTACGTGAAAGTTTGTTTACATTATAAGGAAAGCTTTTAGGTTATATTATTGTTTACTATTATCATTACTAGTTGTAGACTGGTTTCTTGAATATCGTATTAACAATATGATAGGTTTTAAATGTCTTTAGGTGCTTAGCTCTCAACGGTGGCGTTTGTATAGTTGGTAAAAAAAAAGAAAATAATAATATTGTAATAATAATAAAAACAAAGGAATAAAAAAATAATGAAATAAATATATATATTAAGTAGTGAGGGTCAAAAAATTTTATCATAATATAAGATAAGGACATAAAATATTTATGTATTAGGTAAGCCTCTATAGTAAATGGAATTACGTAATTAATGCCATTGCCCTATGTATAAATGTTTATATTTATATATTTATAGTCAAGTTCTGGCTTATTCGCGTCCCGAAATTTATTAATCACTTACTAAAAAAAAGAAATGTCTACTACATCAAAGGATAGTTTAGCAGAAATAATAATTCAGGAAAATGATGTTATTGAAGATAATACCAGAGATGAAATTATATTACATGAGGATTTCAATGAATGGACAGAAAGAAAATATATTATACGGAAATCAATTCCAGTTTCATTGGCATATCTATTACTATATGCATTACAGTTGATTAGTGTATTATCACTAGGTCACTTGGTAATGTATCGCATTTAAAATTATAAATGAAATAAAGAGTTCTTTTGATAAAAAAATTGAAGTATTTGATCTAATCAAAATTAAAAAATTTAATTAGGGTTCAACGGAGCTGGCTGCCTCAACACTAGCTTCAATGGTAATAATCGTATTTTCAGTATAGATCTGATTGGTTGGTTAAATCAGTGGATCAATAGTTTTAGGTTAAATTGGTGAGGCCATATTATCAAATGACATATTGATTAAATAGTCTAGTACTAGGGTTGTTAAATCTTATTTAACAACCCTATTTAGTATAACTCATAAAGAAAGAAATTCTGATCGCTGGTCTGGTATTAATAAATTTTGAGCAAAAGAATAAAAATACCACATGAGATTTTTACCATAGCAATAGAAGTTGCTTTTAATGACATAACTCTAACACGGGATTTTGGGAGAATGCCCTATATAAAATCAGACACACTCATCATAAAGATACCTCGGGGAATCAATTTAATATATTGAGTGTTTAAATTAAATAGATGGTTTACATAAATTTTACAATGGAAGATATATATTATATATATATATATATAGTATATATATATTTTATTCTCAACAAATTTGCAAATTATTTATTGCCTAACTAATGATATTTTTAACCAATTAGATTTCCCTAATTACATTTGTATCAGTAATGTATGGTGCTGCGACAGCGCTTGATACCCTTTGTTCGCAAGCATATACATCTGGTAACATGAAAATGGTTGGAGTATATTTACAACGTTCCATTATAATAAATTTCTTAGGATTTATACCGATTGCTTGTATTTGGTGGGAAGCAGATCGAATCTTAATCTTTATTGGACAATCACCTGAAATTTCTGCAAAAGCTGCTTTATTTCTCAGATATCTATTGATTGGAGCTCCCGCATATTTGGTGTTCGTAAATTTGGAGAGATATTTACTAGCCCAAGGTAACGATAAATCATATATTATTGGTTGATTAACTAATACGTGTGAATGAATTAATTAATATATGTTATCAATATGTAGGGATAATGAATGTTATTACATATGTATTAATAATTTGTTGTATAATTGACGCATGCTTAAATTTCATGTTAGTTTGGTATAAACCTCTATCACTCGGTTTTATTGGAGCACCTATTTCCACAGCTATTACCTATTGGTTAATGTTTATCTTTCTTGTCGTTTACACTAAATTCATTAATGGATATCAAGCCTGGGGTGGATGGTCACGTGCTGCATTTAATGGTTGGAAACATATCCTTAGATTAATGATTCCTGGTATTTTAATGCTCTGTTCGGAGTGGTGGGCACTTGAAATTATAACTTTTCTTGCTGGATATCTTGGTGAACTTTCACTTGCATCTCAGGGTATAATAATTACTTCACTCAATATTTTATATCAATTACCATTTGGAGTCTCTATAGCAGCGTCAAATCGGGTTGGAAATTTATTGGGTGCTGGTTTAATAGAAAGGGCTAAAATGACTTCAAAAGTTTCTATGCAAATCGCTATAATTATTAGTTTATTTAATGCAGCTATCTTGATAGGTTTCAAGGATATTTGGGGGTTAAGTTGCGATCGAATTATATATATATAATTTGATTTAATTGCTGCACATTTACTTATTTATTTTATTAATAAATTATATCTATTACAGATACATATTTACCTTTGATGATGATGTAGTCAAATATACATCTTATGTCTTACCATTTACTGGCGTCTTAGCGGTATCTATTTATTCATTTATAATTACTTAAATATTAATGATTATATATTATCAATTGATATTCATAAGTTCGTTTTTTACGCTTTATAAAAAGATAGCTGATGGTATAAATTCGGTCGGATATGGTATTCTTCGCGGGCAAGGCCGTCAAAATATTGGAGCTCTCCTTACCATCCCTGGTTATTTCCTTATAGGAATACCTATTGGCATACTTGCAGCTTTTAAATTAGGATATGGATTACGAGGTCTTTGGTTTGGAAATATAATATGCTCATTTACAGTTTGTATTATTCTTATTATTATTATGTGTAGAACCAATTGGCAACGACAATTGGAGGAATGTAAAAAGCGAATGGAAGAAGGCAAAGTTAGAATTGATTCTATGATTAGCGATGATCCTGATTTTGCTTAATTCCGAATTTTTAATACATACAATTAGCATGCCATGTCTTTTCAAGACCTACAAACTCTTTTTTGACTGATCCGATAACAAATAAATTTTGATCAGTTTTTAATATTAAAATTTAAAACGATAATGCATTTAACTTGTAATATATCAAAAATACCCAGCATGGAATATTAATAATAAACGATAATGCATTTAACTTGTAATATATCAAGAAATGCCCAGATGGAATATTAATAATAAACATATGGTATTGAGATTGTTGGTAAAAATTCTAGCAAGTTAAATGAAAGAAATGATTCAATTAACAATTTTCTTTATAATTAAGCTCTCCAGAATTAAATTAGCAAACATCTTCTATCATCATTTCAAAAAAAAAACTGACTTTCGATTGCTTTAAAAAACAACTTTCAAGGTCTTTTACTTTTACAATCCCATTATTTAGATTGGCTAAGACATGAAAATTTTTTGACGAATTTATTAAATCATCAAAGTTACCTGAAGATGGTGTATATATAAGCCATAAAAAAGTATGGTTTGTTCGGTAAATATGAATTTTCACGGACAATCCCCCTTCAAACTCTTTCGCTATCATTTCTTTTTATAATAAGGTTTGAGCAAGTTTGAACCAGCTCATATGACCCGCCACTTTTCCTTTTGATTAAAACAGAAAAATTTCGTCAAAAGATTTTATAGAACTACACTTTATGAGCAGCGCGTGCCGTATGCTCAGATCTATTTTCGCATACACTCCCAAAAATTTTTATTGAATTCAGGCTATATTTATTTAATTATTAATTTTTTTGCTTGTATGTACGTATTTAGAAAATACCTTGTAAATTCTTTAAATTATTAAGAAGCATTATTATATTTTAATTTTTGTCCCCTTTTTTTTTTACATCAGAAAAAATTGAAACAGTTTTTCAAATTGGTAATTTGTTGTAATTTTGAAATCGGAAAAATGAAATATGAGTTATTCCTATAAGAAAAATGGATCGGATCGGTACGGGTTGGTTTCAGATAGCACGGGTCAAGATTCGGATTTGTACGGGTATGGCCCGAGTTGGTACGGATTCGTTGGTCCGTGTGGGACCGTATGTCCGTGCCAATTAGACCGTAAATGGTACAGGTTTTGCAGCAGTTTACTAGTCGAATCGGCACGGGATTTGGCACGGGTAATGATAGTCTTCCCCTGTATCGCCACCAAAATTCCACCCACACGTGACCAATAACAAAATTCGTTAAGTTTTTCTTTTTGTCAGGTTAGGGTTAGGGTGAGTACCTATGTT